AAATGTCAACTCACGCCTCACGGGCACCTTGATGTTCTCGAACGTGTAGACATCCTGATCCTTAAAATCTCGGCACTCGAGCATCCCCTGCACCTTCAACGTCCAAGACTCCATAAAGGACTTGGCAAGTGCTGCTGTCAACTCTGGGGGCCCAAAAAGAAGTCCATCGTCAACGTAAAACACCACCAAACCCAATGGATTCTGTGACTCATCATGTGCTGGCACGATCTTCCATACACCTGGCTCGAGCCTTATAAGCTTCAAACACTGACCATCCGGTCCGGTTATTCTCTTAGCTTCGACTTCAGCGTCCCGGTCATGCTCCCACAACTTCGGGCTCCTCCTCAAGCCGTAGAGCGCTCTACGTAAGCGCCACCAGACGGACCCACTTACGATCTTGCGTTTCACCAAAAACGGAGGCGGGGATACATACACATCTTCACCCTGGATCTTCGCGTTTAAAAACGCGGCGGAGATGTCAAGAACAAGGCCTGTCCATGACTCATCTCGCGCCAGCATGCTTGCCCCAATCCTGATGGCTTCCGATCCTGGGTTTAGCGACTGATTTTCGGGCGATGCGCTGATGTACCTGTCTCCCAGTTGCCGCATGCTACAAGCCGTGCTTTGGCCCGCCACCCTTGCAATGACGCAGTTGTAGCTGATGTCTCGTCTCCTGCCTCATCTGCTGGATGATCATTTGGTTTCCTTGTCAGAACAAGCTTAGTTGGAATTGCTTTGACACCATGCGGCACGCGCTCACGCTCTACTTCCTCATAAACCTCTTTTTCCTCCAGATTGTTAAGCTCCGTCCTCACACCTTCGGTTAGCCACTTGTCCAACTCTTCGGGAGACACACTTGGATCTGTCAGGATAGACTGCGGTACTGACTCAGCAACTTCCAACGCTGCCTGATTTGCCAGCGACCGCTCATGTGCGTTCATCTCCTCCTCCACATCATAAGCTAGGGCGTAGTACCGGTCCCGTGCTTGGTTGGATTTCTGATTTATGGCCTCCTTGTTGCAATCTTGATTCGGCAAGCTACTCACCGCACGTAGTACCGCTGCAGGGCTATCCTCAAGCTTTCTCCACAAGATACCATGATTGAAAAGATTGAAAGCCGCTTGCTCAGCTGGTCCGGACTTCTCCTGAGCACGTTGCCTGATTGTCCTGGTGATCTCATCTTCGGTAGGACCTCCTACCTCTCCCGTCCTCTCCTCAAGCGTGAGCATGGCTTCGGTTTGCGGGGGCTCCCACAAAACCTGTCCAGTGGTCGACACCCAAATGTCTCTGCCACCGTTTGGCTCTAGGACCTGTCTCCATCGAGCGCGTGGCTGATCAAGTAATATGGGTAGTCTGCATCTCTGAACCTTCAACGTACCATTTCGCAGTACAAGTACCTTGGCACCACCTAAACTTTGTGCATCATGGCACAGAAAAACACCAATTTCAGCCTTTTCAACGAATGGATCACGGACCTCCCGATGAACTGCAACAGCATCTCCCATTTGA